CACACACACACACACACACACACACACACACACACACACACACACACACCTGTATCTGGACCCTGTGGAATTTGTCCTGCTGTTATACCATAATCCTGTTACAATAGCTTACTTCAGATGGCTACATGGAGTGCTGCTTTGATCTGCTACCGAAAAGGACAATGTCTCCCTCTCTCTCATTTTCACACACATCAAACACTCACATGTACACGCACACACTGTAAAAACAGACCGACTACACCTCTGCAGCGTTATGTCTACAATCACCCTACATGTGACTATCGGATCCAGAAAGATGTTGCTGAAAAAGGTGGCGATACAAAGCAGTTTCTGGACAACACTGGAGAAAGCAGTACTTAGAACTTGACAAGCAAGGCATATAACTCCGCCAGTCTTCCCAAAAGAATACATAAATATCACTATCTTAACACATGCTCAAAGATGTTTTTGTTCTTGTCTCCAATGACCTCATTCTGCACTCAGAACAGAACAAAAAGCAAATGTACTAGGCACGGGATCATGGCGGTATGCTAGTCTGTGTATGTTGGAAAACTGAGTGCTGGAATGACTAGAATCTACCAGTAGCTGTAGCCGCGTATATGGGAAACGGCAAAGACTTTGGTTGCGAAAGCTTTACGTAGTCTGAGGTGCGTTTGCTTTGCTAAGAAACAACTCCAGGTTGATCCTTAGATGGGTTAGGCAGTGACGGACACATTGGGTAGGGCTGAAAATTAGGAAACTGCTGTAATAGGAAATTTGTTTTGTGGTCTGAATTTTTCTCTGTTATCCCAATGATGTGTCCCAGGGCGTCTCCCTTCCTCCCTCCCAGTGCATGCTGGGGCATGCTTAAAGGGGCCTGAAGAAAACTGGAACAAAAATTCAAAGCACTACGTGGAAATGAGCTACCTTGTGCAGAGTCCCTTTGGAGTCTCCGAGGAAGGCGATGCTGTGTCCATCTCTGACACTGACGGCCACCGCAGTGAGACGGGCGGCCGAGGTGTGCCAGGCGGCCCTGGTCTCCAGCGGCACCCGGCTCGCCATGGGACTGGGGGTGTGGTCGGAGCCGCAGGGGTACGCCTTGAGGGTATTCTGCAACACATGAGGGAAAGTTCGATCGCTATCGTTGTCCTTGATCTTACCTATATATTTAAACTGAACGCACCAAAAATACTTTTGTTTTATTGCTCTTAATATGTCAAACACCTAAGCTTCAGACTAACAAGTTCATGTTCCCATTCTTTCCTGCTGTTGCCCGAGGAGCCTTCCAATGCTCTTGATACTCCGTAAAAGGATTGCGCCACAGATTAAAGCAGACTCATGCAGACACAGGCCACTGGCTGTTTTGGGTTCACAAAACAAACGCTTTTTAAATCCTGCTTTCTGGTAAGTCTCAAAGCTCTGGCTGCACATAATTGGCCCTGAAGGAGGAAGTAGAATGAGACATCTTTAGTTAGTCTAAAGAGAGTTTATCACAAAAAAAAAAAAAAGACAGAAAGATGGCTTATCATTGTTTCAAGGGGAACTGTGATCTAATACATCCTCTCCTCATTCAATCATCTCTCTGTGTCATTCAGCGTTTCCTTTTCTTCTTTCTCCCTGTCGCTGTGTGTGATAGTCGTTCTATTCCCATGTTTGTGCCCCCCCCACCCCCCCTTCCTTCTCTCAACCTTAATCTCTATTTTCTTATGTCAGTGGGTTTAAAAAAAACTCCCTTGTCAGAGCTCATTAAACAGCAGCACAGCTGATTCAGGGTTAGCTTGGTTTATTGATCCCTAATGGTCCCATTAAATGGTTCTGAGGGCTGGCAGGACCTGGGCGACAGCAGAGGGGGTCACCGCAGCGCTGCAGCTGGGCAGAGCTACTCCTGGGGCATCTGGGAGTTGTGGGCTTTCCAACCAGGGCCTCATTACAATGCCTTCATTCTTCCTGTTGCTAAACTTAATCTGGGCAATCCAGTCATCCCTTGTTACTGGGCTGTGCTTTCTGTTTGGTCTTTTTTTAACCAACGAAACCAATTGAGTCAATATACTTAAAGTACATAGAGACAGCAGGATATAATTCATCATGATGCCCTACTATACGGCCCGCATCCATGCTCTAACAAGCAGTCAAAGCAGGAAAAAAAACAAAAAAAAACAGCATGCATCCTGCTCTCGTTATTGACAAAATCAGTTTTAAAAGCCCATCTCTCCAAAATATTTGCTCTTCTTCCGTCACGGAAACAGTCAGCTTCCTTCCCTGTCCTTCATCCGCCGCATCCTTACCATAGGCAGGTTGGCGCAGCTGGACTTGACCTCGTACTCTATGTAGGCCACCTCTCCTCTTCCCTCCACCCGGCCGTCCTGGGTGTAACAGAGGTCGCGGGTAGAGTCGATGTGTCCGTCGAGCTCATCCAGCGGGTACAAGCACAGAGCCGAGGCGTCCAAGGCAGCGTTGTTTGTGGAGCCGCCGCGGGTGGAAAAGACTCCCAGCAGATCCTCGCCTTCCCGGCCGACGCCTTGTCCCACCTGTTGCAACAAAGGCATGGGAAAACAACTCCGTTCAACACAGCCAGGATCAGTAATACCTTGATGTTAAACCATTTCCGAAAGACTTGAAATTCAGACACACCAAGTAGTTAGGATAAAGTACCTGGGCAGCCTGGAGCAGGTTGTAATTCCTGGAGGGAGAGGAAGTGGAACGGCAGACCAGAGGAACTTCCACGTAGGAATAGTAGGAGGTGTCGTCCAGGCACACTCTGGCGGCATAGGTCCGGTACTCCCTCGATGCAGACTTGATGTCGCGGCGGTAAAACAAGAAGTACACGTACGTGCGCCGTGTGAACGCCATCACGAAGTGGTGGTCGTATTCCGACAGGCGCCCGGCCACCGCTAGCTTGGCCGTCTCCTCGTAGGAGAAGACGGGCTCTGATGAGAGGTGGCGGGTGGAGATCGGCGGGTGGCTGGCGGTGTAGCCCCTACCCACGTACATCACTGTCCTCTCACCGCCGCGAAGCCCCACCACCAGCCCCACGGTTGACACCAACGGGTCATTGGCGGCAACGTACTGCGTGTCCACGGGCCTCTCGGTGGAGAAGCGGACCTTCTTGATCGACGCCAGGCTGCGTTTCTGGCAGGTGCCCTGGTGGATGCTGCCGCAGGTGATCAACTCCAGCGCCTTCGGATCCACCAGAAGTAGTTTGTTGTGGTTGCTGGTTCTCCTGGCTTGGGGACAGTTGGACTCAGTCACTGGGGGGAGGCAGTCCTTGCTGTCGCTCACGGGACCGGTCGTCTCCTCCAGCTCCAGCCGGAGTCCGTCCGATCCGTCCAGCTGGAAGAGGTGGTCCCTGGCCCCCACGTACACCGTCCCCACGAAGAGGTCTGGGTGGAGCACCAGGTGCTGGAATTCAGTGTCATTGCGGGAGAAACGAGGGTAGGAGCGACCGCGGGCTGTGGCGAAGACGAGGAGGATGAGGAGTAAGAGCAGGGTGGGGTTAAGAGCCTTCCCATGTGGCATGGCAAATATTCTGAGGAAAGAAACAGAGCAGTTTAGAGGCCTTCACTAGCAGATGTTTGAGTCTAAACATTACTATATAGTTTAGTACAGTGCAAGTTTAAGAGTTTGAGAGAGAAATATTAAGATGTGCTGAGAAGAACCTCTTAAGAATTTAAGCTACAGTAGCAAGAAAAAAAAAGTTTTCACTGTTGCACGGGCCGACATGTTCCATCAGTATCATAAACACACACACACACACACACACACACACACACTAGTTTTTCTTGCACTATGTACTCCTGTTTCAGTTGCTGCTGCTTAAAAAAGACAGTACCAAGCTGTTGTAGGAAATGATGTAGTCCTTAGAAGGAACAAATGAGTTTGGGCCTGAGTACCACAGACAGGCTTGGGAAGGTGTAAAGTATTGAGAGACAGTTTGGGTCTTTTCTTTGAATTAGAAAATGTAAAAATAGAAAAGAAAAATTATGTACCGTACAATGAAGTAGCAATCTTACTGGATACACCATGCTTCTGTAAGTGATGTCAATCTAAATTACAAGGTAATTGATTTTCCTGTTTTAACTGATCTTTCTATACATTTTTATCTTTCACCAACAGACAACGCAGTGCTTAGAGGTAGACCTACTACTGCTGTGACCAACTATTACAGTACCGTAACAGTACGTATGACTATTTACATTATTTAAATGTGTTTTTACATATATTCTTTAGTAAATATTTAATTTAATAGAATTTATACAAATAGTTAATTAATATTGACATAATGTGCTGCGGGTCAATTATAATCTTTTCATCACTTCTTGTTAACTGGTCGAGGATCCCAAAAAGATAGAATTTCTTATGTAGACTTTTGGGATGTGTTCCCAGGAGTACATTGTGTTTTTCTGGATTTCTGTTCTAGTATGTGTAAAATATCTGACCAGTTTTTTTTTTTTTTTTTTACATATAAAGAATACATGCGTACAATTGGAATAATTTTCCCACATTCCCTCGATGGTGTTCTTATGTATCTTATATTCATCTCCCAAGCACATTCCTGCCAATAGAGTGATCTAATGTAGAGGGAAATATCTTTGAAGCTCTGCTTGTTCTCAGTTCCGACTCCCATTTATATTTGAGTCGTTTTGTCTATTTGGATAGCCATCACTCAACACCTCTGGAGAGGAGAGTGGTCTGTGGACACAGAGCCTTTCGCATTAGGAGATAAAAACCTGTTTAATTATTGAACAGGTTCCTCAGACCTCTCACTGACCTTACTGGGAAAGGTTGCATAGAAATACATAACTCCCGTTCAGCGTATAGCATTTGGAGTGAGCTTTAAACCAGAGATGTGTAAGAGCTCTTAACAGAATCAAGCTTCTTTCGTAGTTCCCTCTACATTACTGGGATAACCTTTCAGGCAATGCTGGAATAGATGGGGCAAGATGATGGTAATGCAACACTTAATGGTGCAACCGGCATGAAACTCAACGGATGAGAAGAAGAAGATGTAGGTGTACGCGGTGGGAGGCGTCTCGAGGAATTGGTTTTGTCCGGTGCCAATGTTCTCGGAACGTATTCAACAAGTTTGCGATACAAGTCAAATCCCCCCCCCCCCCAAGCATTGCCGCAAATACACCATGAACCAGTCGTGGCATTCAGAGTGGGGTCTTGTAATTTGTTTGCTCGCTCCCTATGAAGGCGTCTCCCGTCAGGCGGACGTCCCCCGTCCAGTCCCTGCTACGATACTGCTTTCGTCCACAACAACAACCTTGAGGTGGGACATCGACGGCACGGACTTCCCTGAATGTCGATCTCCTGCTCCCGTTCACACACGAGCCCATGCGGGGGAACGTTCCTGAACGTTTCAGGGATGGACTGCATGTGTGAGAGGGACTTAAGATGCACAGACTATTAACTAAATTGAAATTGTCATTGTTGGTATTATTTATGCCCCAACACTCTGCGTAATGACAGAGGAGGAAAATGTGTAGAGAAAGCTATGACTATACTGTGATGTTTAGAAAGATTACCATCACATGGCAGTGTGAATAGACTGCTAAGACATCAGACATGCAGCGCCATCTCACCTAACTGTCCACCCCCTGGGGCTGCAATCAGGACGAGGACGAGGGGTGTCGAAAGGGAGGAGAACGTGGATCTCTGTGTGAGTGGGTGTGGATTTGTGCTTGTGTACATAACCAGGGGGGCCATCCAGGAGCAGCTGCATGTGTCTTAGTGTGTGTCTGGTAAGTGGGTGAGTGTGTCCCAGGCCTCCTCTTTTACTTATTCATGAGCAGGATAAAGCGTATAATAAGTAATAACCTCCACGCCCACTGTCAGAGGATTTGAGTTGGGGCGTGTAATGCGTCAAGAGGAGTGGCCATTACAGAAAAATCCACAGTGGTTTGAGACAGGGGAAGAATAGTCGTCATGAAATATAGATACAAAACAAACCTCATGTTTTATTGAGCCGAACATCTAGAGCTCTCAGATACAAGTTCTCTGTCGTGGCTCTTTAGGGTCGGTCCACCACTGACAGATAATCACGGTCACCTCAGTCACTACTTTGGTGATACCTTAAATCTTTTGCAGCGCCTTCAACTTGTTGGATGGAATGGAATAATTGAATACTTTCCAAAGCATATTGCCCTTATTCGGGAACGTATGTTGGACTACATCTAAAAACAATTAGTGTGTCAAGTAGCTAGACTAATAACTTTTTAAGCTTCTGTAACTGAGAGCCTGGGAATCCTAGAGGAATTCTCGCTGCTACTCTGAGCAGGGCGTACTCACCTGCTCTTTGACCGGACAACATATTTATAGCGACGACCCCCATCACCATGGGAACTTCCTCTTACCAAACAGCAATGACGGCTTCCTATGAGCTACCACAACATCAGAGTTGATGACTGTGGTGTGGGTGGGAGTGGAAATGGAGGCAGAGAACAGATGTGGTTGATGTAAAAGCTATCCGAGACCCATTGAGGCTATGAGACACTTTCACTTAATTCTTAATTCAGATGAGCACCCTTCAACATAGATAGCTCTTTCAATAATCATCCATTTAATAAGCGATTCTTAGAGGAAGTTTGTGGATTTTCAATGGCATGAATCAACAAGCTTACGTTTAAGCCTTTTAAAGTAAGAGCAGATACATTATGCCAGTGAGAGTGTGGATCCAAGAGGTTCACGTTTATTCACTACATTTAGAAAACAGTGCGTAGGATCCACACTCAATGCTTGCGTATGTGCAAAGGAGGAAATGCACGTACGCTGGAAAATATCCAGAGTCACAAAAACTTGCGTACGCCTGCCAGTGCTCAATTTCCTTTTATGAATCCCAAATCATGCTGTAAATGTGTGCAGCTGGTTCAGCCTCACATCCCCCCTCTACACGCCCACATTCAACCATAAACGGTCAATGCAAAGCACCTTATGAATGTTGCATATCAATGAGCTGCTGATCAGTGGTTCTTTATGGTGAATCACGGAGACTACCGAGAGGAAGAACACTCGTTCCCTCCTGATTCTTCCATTTACAGAGTCCCAAGAGTGCCAGAGTATCTAACATGCAACATAACCCGTCACGAGTCTCACCCTAGTATTTATGTTTACAGCAGCACGACTGATTGCTTCCAAAATGATCGTGACAATCTGTGATATCGTCACCCTGGATATCATTAAAAAATAAAGTTTGATAGGTGAACACAATATATATATATATATATATATATATATTCTTATGGCTTTATGATTAGGACTGATAATGAAGATATGGAGTGATCATGCGAGAGCTGTCACTGCCTTTATTTCCACACTTTGCTAATTTCCACACTCGTTATGTGCAGGTGGTGAAGATTTGAAAGTCGTGTTCACAGCAGCAACACTTAATGAAAACTAAAATTGTACTTGGTAATATATGCAAAGTATTAGAAGAGTATTCTTTGTTCTGCAGTTCTTTAAAGCTATTTGAGATTATCTTACATATGATGATAATTTCATTTACTCTGAGGAGAGCAGACAGTGCTGATAAAATCTTAAGTGAAATTTGATTTGAGGTTTGAGTTGGTTTATATCTTTAACAATTGAAATGTGCTTCTAGTTATGGCTCAGTAGTACAAGGCCAAATAACACTGGTTTGGTTTATAATAAAGAGAATATATAAGTGCAAAATAACGTGTGATATGAAGTGAAATTAAATGTGAGGCATCATTATTTGTGTAATGATGCCTCACATGTATTTTCTACAGTCTGGCTTCATTTCACCACCTCACCATGTGCGTCGCTAATTTCCCGTGTCTCCAAAATGTTCGTACGCATGGGTCAGTGTTTCCGTACAGGTGCGCATATTCTCCTATCAAGTTTGTGACATGCGTGGGAACGTTTGCGTGGGAAGTGGCGTATGCCTCTTTCAGACCCCGTGTTGTGCGTGTGCAACGGTTATAAATGAGACCCCAGGCCTTTGCCACAGTCGGTCTCCTACCGTTGAAAGAGAAACATCTTATTTTACTCCTACTGTGGAAGTGCTTAATCCAAATAGCACCGCCACCCTTCAGAGGAGCAGAGGGTGGTGTCAGTCATGCTGTTCACCAACAATCTCCAGAGCTCATCAGTTGTGTCTGGAATGCAGCATGTTCGGGCATGGGCACAGTCCAACGCCTATAAATAACCTCTGGTAGACCATTAGACTGTCAACTGAATTGGGGAGGGGAACGGGTGGTCACAAAATGGAACAAATGTTCACATGCAAGCAAACGTATGAATAAACACATGAGTGATTTCTAGGGCTGTACCCGAATCACAATTGTTTTAGTTGAATAAGATTTGACTCGTCAATACGATGATTCCTTCCATTTCTAAACTTTTCTTTTCATATGAACTATCATTGGCATGAGTTTCAGCGATGATTCGGAGGGCATTACATAGTCGAATGTGGTCATTTGCTGAAAATATTGTTAATCTTCTAAACCAGTGGGGTCCATGCAGGTTGCCCCGGGGGATTCAACAGGTATGGCCACTCGCTCTGGAGGATCCCCTCATGGGACCTCTCCCTGGGATGTTGGCCCTTGTTGGGTGCATTTCCTCTGTGGAGGTGTGGCGCAACTGGCTCTGAGTCGGCTTGGAAAGGCCTGGAGTGACGGTGGCTCGCAGCTCCGGCTGGGAGCTTTACATTATCCCTTGCTCGGACCTCTCCTTGGACTGAGGGCCCGCTGCGCCCTCTCACGCTGGAGGGAATAATGGGGCCCTCTGCTCCCAGTTTGACTGTCAACCGGCTGGACTGTCCTCAGTACGTAAGGTGTCCCACCAACCCGTCTCATTAAGGATGCTTTGTGGGTGCGACTTTATACAATATATTAAACAACCAATGCGTGTTTGACTAAATTGTTTCCTAGACAAAACAGTGGACCAAAGCACAAACTTCGTCATAGGTCTAGCCTACAAAAAGAGACGGTTTGACTTGAAGAACTGTGAGTTGACTGAGGGTCAGGGACAGATGATCAGACTCACTCAGAATTTTTGTCCTTCTGAAACAGAAGCTCGACTTCAACATTTCACTTAAACCCAGAATGACTTTCTCTTAACTGCGGATGGCGGGCTGACATACCCATCCCAATCGGCAGTAGTAGAAAAGGTGATATATACGAGTTTGTGCCAAGTGTATTCATGCCCCCTATAAACTTCTCAGAATGTGCTCTCTTCAGTGAACTTTTGCCCTAACCATTCCTATCTGCCTCCCTTTCTCTCTCTGTCCATGTTTATTAAATCGCTGAGAGAGTCTGCTGTGCAAGTTCATTTCTAAAGCTCCTAATGAGCCGTGACAGCCCACTGAATGCCTAAGACCCTATAAAATATGTGGGGTCAGCAGCAGAGGGACAGTGGGGGGGGACAGTGGGCCTGGAGCCATGGAGCACTGCTTTGCATTGTTATGTTCTGGTGGGTCGGCTGGGTCTCGCCCCCCGGGGCCCCCGAAACTCTGCGACACTCCAGAGAGTACAGTAGAGAGAAGAGCATCAGAGTGTTTTGAGATCAGCAATGACCACAGGCAGGCAGGACGATACAGAACAGGCACAAACGTTGGCCAGTTAACAATTGGGATTGATTTAAAAGTCGGGTCTGGAAAGCCTTGCCGTATGCATTAGAGTGGTGTTCATGAGACTGATAGTTAAGTTTAAAATGTTTGTTTCTTGACAAGAAAATCAAAGCATTTGCTGTTTTTTCTCCTACAAGTTTCTAATGCTGAAGGAAACTATTGGTAGTGAAGACAACATGAAGGAAGCCTTGAAGAAAGACGACATCTCAATCCCCCTATGACATCATCGTATCTTTGCCTGGACTGTTAACCTCTAGCACCAAGCATGAATCCAGCTTTAGTGGCAGCTCTTGGATGTGTCGAGTTTCGTTGGCAGTAGGTCTGGACGATATGGCCAAAAAGTTATCACCTTTGTTTTTTCATATTGATTAATGTCGTTAATTATCACAACATATATTTGATAATAAAAATATTTAATTTACAGTTTAAAAAAGTATTCTCCTTAACACAGAACCCTAAAGAAACCAGAAGGTTATTTATGGTTTGTAATATATTTATTTATTATCACAATGGGTCAGGTTGTTGAGGGTTGATTAAATATGTAAAGTGTTTAACAATTCTCGTTGGCCATCTCACTGCTGCGTGCTACTATTGAGCATGCCCACCAGAGACTTCTGCCGGCTTAAGTCTGGTTAGCGCGATGCTAAAAACGATTCAACCGTGCTGCTCTCCTAACCTTCCAAATATATGAGTGGTAGACAGAATTGTTTCAGTGGCTCAGCCCTAGTTCATGTCGAGTAGCTCTACAGGCATTGCTCTCCAATCTGCATTATTATTTTTAAGTTGGATGCTGGTGTTACGCAGCTAATACAATGGCTTCCTCCATTCCGGACTCTCCGGTTCTCGCTGGTTGCCCACAAGGTTGGCAGATTGCAGTTGTTTAGTGACGTGAATTAGCTTGTTGAAGTTAAACAAATACACCAGGGCTGTTAATGATCAACGGTTTAACCGTTGACCGCTCACAAGCATTTCGCCCAGGTTGCCTGATTCGTGCATACACTGCAGCTAGCAGTCCGCCCATCATACTTGTTCCCCTTTCTGCTGATGACTTCTCCGGCCCGATGGGACGACGAGTGACCGAAACTCAAATAAAACAAGCTTTGAGTGTGAACCCAACTAAACAAAGGGAATACCTGCGTAAACCAAGTCAAACTTCCCACTCGTGACCAAATGCAACTAACTGGAGGTCACTCCAAATCCACATTTACATCTATTGAGCACATCCACATACCGTGTAGATGCTGGTTGTGTCTCCCTACTTAGTTTGATCAGCGAGAGCGCTAATATTATGAGAGACAGATGCACACATGCTTGGCCCCTCTCCACTTCCGTCGCCTTCTCCGGGGTCAATGGCCATTTCTCCCCTCCCCTGGTTCACGAGCAGACACAGAGGGTCTCTCTCTCCCCAGCCCTCCGGTGTGCTGAAGGGGCTCTCTGTCCGCCGCCGGAGGGAATAGTGTCCCTTTCACAGCTCTCTCCACCGAGTGGCTGCGCTGAACGGACACAGGATAAAAGCCACTTCCCTTAGAAAGAGTCCACACACACACACACACACACACACACACACACACACACACACACACACACACACACACACACACACACACACACACACACACACACACACAC